GGAGTAAAATCTAACGCTCATATTTTCAATAAGAGACTTTAACGACTGTCATAGGAAATGGACCTATCCCATTAGGAATATAGTAGTGTCTACAACTACCTTTATATACTTTATGCGTTTTTATTTCTTAAAAATTTCGGCAGCACCTACCCGCTATTCTTCGAGTACACTGTGCGGATGTTATAATGCGTATCAATCATCGATAATAGATTGACTATAGATCGATACGCAAAACAACATACACTTATTGTACACGGAGAACAATGCGGTACGTGTTATCGAAATTTTGTAGGAATAAAAATGCATAAAGTATACAAAGATAGACGATACACTACTGTATTCCTAACATGTACGAGAAGGGGAATCCTCCCCGGACAGATATAATAATTATTGCATGTAGATCATGCTCCTAACATAATCTTTAGATGTAAAAAGTATTTTCACATCCAACTAGAATTGCGTGAGTTTATATCAGAAGAGATTCGCATCCAACAATATTAGACGGGAAACTAGGGGTAACGACTTCTGATTCATAAAATTATGATATATAACACAATACAATCTCGATATATCTAACTAATCAAAATTTTCAGTTAAGATAAAGGCTAAATATCAGTAAATCCTCATTAACTTTGGGACTATTATCAGATAACCCGCCTTAATTTTCAAAATATCAGAAAACCCCCCTTATTTTGATCTTCATATTAGGAAAGATAATAATAATCTTCTGAGAAACTAAAAAAATAAAATTCACTTATATTTTTTTACAAACAATACTAGTTAGTAATCAAATACTCAAGTACCCTCAGAAAATAAAATAAAATTTGACTTTAATGATTATGGACGTTTACACAAATTAACACATGCATTATATATTACCAACAGTATGCATGTATCCTTTTCATATAGTTGATGATGACCCAATAGTTCTTTTTTTAGTTTGGTTTTGGATAAAATCCAAAAAATACTTGTTCTTACAACCTTGTGACAGATGCTTAAATGATAGACGAAAACTCTTATAATTAATAGAAATTTTACCTAATGTAATGGATTCTCGTATTTCTTGTAATATTTTCTTAAAGCAAACATGAAATTAAGCTTAACGACTTCTGAAATTTATAACAATCAAATAAATTTAAAATTCTAAATTTATCACATATCAGTAGAACCAACAAATTTTAAAAGATAAAAATTACTTGCTAGAAAATAGTATGTCACCGTGAGCTACGAGCTACGAAGTGGAGACTGGGGTTCGGGGCCTCGGCGCGTGGGCGGTGGAGTCGGAGAGGAATAGCGGGAGGTGATGGCGAGGGGGCGTGAGAAGTCGAGTGGGGTTCGGTGAGGGGTGATAGGCGAGGCGGCGGCGGGAAGTCGAGTGGGGTGCGGAGGGGTATGCGAGGGGTGTGCGGCGGAAGTCGAGCTGGGGTTCTGGGGAGGTGATGGCGAGGGCGTGGAGTGGAGGGAGAAAGCGGACGACATTGATGGCGAGGGCGAGGCCGGCGGGGAAGTCAGAGCTGAGAGGCGGCGGCCGAAATTAGGGTTTTTTAACTGTGTAGAAACACGAGAGGCTCGGTTAAATAAACATTTATACAACTCGCTGACGGCCTTCTCCGTCAGCGATGTTTATTCCAGGTCGGCCGATAACACTATCGCCGACGGTTATATAGACATTTGTGACGGAACAACGCTGACGAGATTCCGTCACGGATATAAAGCATCGCTGATAAGTAAAGTCTTCGTCAGTCGTTGTTGCCGTCAGCGAAGCATAGTTTTCCACTAGTGGGTGAATAACTTCACCTCCTAAATGTTCCCAAACAAAGTGAATGGTTCCCCTAACTTCTCTTCACCCCTATTCTCCTCAATCCAAACAAGCCCTAAGAGTTCTAAAAGGAACCTCCCTCTTACTAAGAAGATGCCCATATCCTTCTTTATTGCCTTTATCCTTTACTATTTTCAATGACCAATTAATGCTCTTGGTTCCAAGAGTAACTTTCAGTCTTTCAATGCATGCACCCTTTAAGATTACAATGCATGCACCTTCAAACTTCAATGGTCAACATGCATTCATCTACCTTATTTCGAGAATTAGAGAGAATCCAAACACTAACTACATTCAAACCTGAACAATCAATGAGCAAAACGATCGATTTAAGGGATTAATATCGAAAATACCCAAACAAAAGTATCATAGCAAGATTTTTTTTAAGTTCGATCCCTAAGTAAATAGAATATTTGAAACCTAAATTGGTAATATATTCTTTCACATTTTGTGTCATGTATGCATCACACCCACGCCTATCATCAAAAATCCACCAAAGTCCCACATAACTCGTAAGCTTTCCTAATGGGCTGTTTGGTTGTTGTTGGTAAAGTTGTGTATTTATGACACAACTTGGAAAGTTGTTGTCTACCTCATCAATTTTACTTTTATACTTTTCTTTGTTTGTTTTTTATTCCATTGGACTCATAAATTGCTTGTTTGGTTCGTAAATGTAACTTTAATTGTTTGTTTGGAAAGTGTAAAAAGTGGTCCCTACTCAAATGATCATATTGGTTGGAATTATTTTTTATTATTTTTTCCTGACTTCAATGTCAGCTTTCTCCTAAAATCATGTCTTTTTTTTATGAAATCACTTTACAAGCCACATCAGCATATGAAATCACTTTACATTATTTTCACGACTACAAACAAACAATTGAATGTGATGAAAGCTGACATTGGGGCCCACTTTTTTACACTTTCCATCCTTTTACATGGTAAAAACATACAACCAAACAGCCCACAATTTTACTTTCCGAGCAAAGTGTAGCAGGAAAATAAATATTTTTTAAACGTACGTCGGGCCCACCTGCCAGCTTGGGCGGGGTCCAACTATATCCACTCCCAAACAGTAACTTTGGGTGGTGGATGGACGAAATTGCCCTTTATTGTTAATTAAGCTTACATCAACCATTAAATGCTTCTCATTAAGGTTCATTAATTCGGTTCATTAATTCTGAGTCCACAATCCTTTTTGTTTAATTGACCTTGTTTTCCCACCGGACACCGTGTCCGGTGGGTTATAAATTTTTTTATTTTGTTTTATTAACTAATTCCATTTTAATTGTGTATTTAAAATCCGTGTTAGACTATAATCCGTGTCGGTTTATAATCCGTGGGTCATAAAAAAATCATTGAAGTGTTATTAAAAAAATTAATTTTTTTTAGAACATATATAAATGTTGGTTTAATTTTAATATAATTTGAATTTTTAAAATCGTTAATAAAATTTGTTTAAGTGTTTGAAATGTTTGAATTTTTTTTAAGTGTTATTAAAAAAATCATTGAAGTGTTATAAAAAAAATTAATCCATTATAATCCGTGGGTCATAAAAAATCATTGAAGTGTTATTAAAAAAATTAATTTTTTTTAGAACATATATAAATGTTGGTTTAATTTTAATATAATTTGAATTTTTAAAATCGTTAATAAAATTTGTTTAAGTGTTTGAAATGTTTGAAGTGTTAGACTATAATGAAGGATAATAATAAAATTTATTAGAAAATCAAAGTATTAATCTACTCAACGAAATACATCAATTTTTATTTCGATCCTAATTAATTGTTCTTTATTCTTCTTGTTGATGCTCGACGTTCTCCATCTTCATTGTGGAGACGGTTAAAGTGACTGATCGAGAATGCAAATTGTGCATCTAAACCATCTGCAGATTTGTCGTGATGGTCGTTCCAGTAAAATGCTATGGGTGGTACCGGATGATCCCCTGGTTTCATATGCAACTGGAAAAAAATGTACAAATATTGAAGTTATATTCTTATATAAAAAATTAAAGTTAAAATTCAACTTGTTTATATGATCGTCGACTAGTGTAATTTTCTTACCAAAATCCAATGATCATTGCTAAGATGTCCGCACACCACCTTTCGGGTTGGAGGTCCTTGTGTTTCATCTAATATCGCTGGCAGACAAGTATTTCCTCCATGTTCACTGAATGTCATGAAAACAACATTATATGTTGTTGCAATTACGTGACCGCAATCCGGTACCGCCATCCAGTAATCATCATCCGCTGGTCCATGGTAGTGAGCAATCGATTGGATGAGATTAGTCACATTAGAACTCCTCGCACTCCTCCCACCTAAGATTCGAGCGTACAAGGCGCTTCTATTCTGTAGATCTGCTACTAAGTCTTGTCTAACTTTAACCCAATCATCTTCTGTTCCGTAAATTGCTAGAGCCACCGCTCTAAATCCACAATTTCCGTCTGCCGCTACATCTGTGCATTGATCTATGTATTTTCTAATGTAGGGCGGGAATTCTCTCTCAAATACAGAATTCTTAAAGATGAACGTGGTGCCTTTGGAAGAAGGGGTTGACATTGGAGGCCTTGAGCACGGAGGATTTGGAGAAGATGGTGATACTGGTGGCCCCGTACGTTGGGATGTGCTCATTGGACTCCCCTGTGATTCAGAGATAGAAGCAACACGTCCAGGGCCCTTTACAAATGCATAGGTTGACAATGTTAAATTGAGAATAATAAATTAGTAACTAATATAAATCATAATTTTCAAATATAGAAATTCATAAGTTATGTAGTATTACCTTTTTGTTTGGAGACTTTTTAAATCCGTACTGTTTCACAACCCTCTCCCACGCCGAAGGTACACGGAGACTAGAGAGCTTTTTACCCTTGGTTTTCTTTTTAGCAGTAGGAGGTGCAGTAATATCAGGGACTTCTTCGAACAACGCCCTCCTCACTGGATTTGGTGGAGTCGGGGATCCATCCGCGGCATCATTAGGAAATATTGGAAACTGAATATCTAACTTTTTCCAATAATCATGTATTTGATCCAACGGAATGCTATACCCATTTATGATGTAGTACTGAAGCTCATGTGCGCACGGTAGACCATGAGTTCTCCTTAGGTAGCAACCACACGTTGTTGGATCCTGACCCATTTCTTGTAAAACTTGCATTTCTTTCCTTATGAGGCCGAATGCTTTAAACGTGATTGATCTGTTCAGATTAACAAACAACGTATCTCCAAGGGTGTCTGTGTTGGATTTAGTAGCGTTAACTCTCGCTACTTTCTTAATCACACAGATTTGGCCTTCTATCACCTTGTGAAGTTTCTCCAGTACGGTATCGAATGGGTACCGACCACCATCTAAATGTCGTTTGACGCGATGATGTTCTCCTTCGACCCTGCATTACCAATTGAACTTGAATATTAATTATTAATGTTGACTACATGTAACGATTATTTAGTCACGTAAATCTCACAAGGCTTACCTATTTGTTGTGTAGCTTCCGAAGTGAAAATAATGGTCGATGTAAGCTGACAGGATTTTTTGGGAATGCGGACTAATCCATGTGTCAATGCAGTAGTTCAGCAATGCTCCCCAACTCGAGTAATGTGCTGCCAGACGTCCCCATCTATCATTAAAGTCATCTATGGTCGGTGCACTTATCGCCCAATTCCAACGAAATTTAAATCCTTCTGCCGCCTCTTTTAAAAAACCAGGTTGCTGCAGTGCTCGTTGTAGCACGCATTGCTCAATGTGACGGCGACACAAATGATGCCTGGATTCCGGGAAAACATACTCGACAGCATGCATCAAGGCGTAATCTCGGTCTGTTACAATGACATTAGGTGTCACTTGGCTAACGAACAAAGTACGGATAAACTGTAACACAAACCTGCAAAATAATATAACATTAATAATTTTAAATTTAAACGTAGGACAAAATAACTGTACTAAATAATTGTCAATTGTAATTTATAACAACAAATTAACATAATAACAATATTAATGACAATACTACAATAACAATGTTAATAACAATAATAATACTATAATAAGTCCTAATTAAACAATATAATAATTTTCATAACAGTAACAACTCCTAATAATACTATAATAAGTTCTAATTAAACAATATAACAATAAAAAAATAACAATATAATAATGTTCATAAAAATAATAACTCCTAATTATACAATACTAATAATGTTCAATAAAAATAATAACTCCTAATTAAACAATTCTAATAATGTTCATAAAAATAATAACTCCTAATTAAACAATACTAATAATGTTCAATAAAAATAATAACTCCTAATTAAACAATTCTAATAATGTTCATAAAAATAATAACTCCTAATTAAACAATACTAATAATGTTCCAATAAAAATAATAACTCCTAATTCAACAATTCTAATAATGTTCATAAAAATAATAACTCCTAATTAAACAATACTAATAATGTTCCAATAAAAATAATAACTCCTAATTCAACAATTCTAATAATGTTCATAAAAATAATAACTCCTCCTAATTAAACAATTCTAATAATGTTCATAAAAATAATAACTCCTCCTAATTAAACAATTCTAATAATGTTCATAAAAATAATAACTCCTCCTAATTAAACAATTCTAATAATGTTCATAAAAATAATAACTCCTAATTAAACAATACTAATAATGTTCATAACAATATTAACTCCTCCTAAATATTCAATTTAACATTATTCATAACATTGACAAACAATTGTACTAAATAATGTTAATTAACAATTTTAAATTTAAACATATGAAAAAAAATTAAAATTCATTAAGACACAAACCTGTAGTTTTCTTGTCTCTCATTTCGCATGAATGCGTAGGCGATAGTGAACGTTTTGTCCGTACTTGTTGCACCGACCACTTCTAGTAGAGGCATGTCATACTCATTGGTGTTGTACGTACAATCAATCATCATGACTTCCGGATATGCATTCACCATCACAAAAGAAGCCGGGTGGCAGAAAACAATATCTCCAAGTTCGGAAGATTCATCAGCAGTCCGAACGTCGTACATGTAGTTCAATTGCCTGAGTAAATGGATGAAATTATTCATCGGGGTCCGACCTTCTCTTTTCTGGGCACGCACCTTACTGACAGCATTGTAAACTTGTACACGATTTGTTCTCCGGATCAGCCCTTTTCATGGACGCCAACATATTACTCGGGCTTAAATTAAAATTCTCTTGCTCCCTAATAACTTCAAGTTGAATAGGGGATATTTTACCTAAACGAGATCCCACAGCATGAGACGGGAATGGATGGTTGTGTCTCCCCTCCCGGACTTCAAAGTACCAGCGCCCTCCAGGGTACTCCATTCCGTCCAACCAAAATGGACAATTATTTTTTGTCGTTTTAGTGGACCTAGTTCCAGTAACCTTTTTTGGTCTGTATCCGCCACCTTGGCTACATAAATATCGAACTTTGGGCCGTCGGCCGTCTTTTCCCTTCGAATCACGAATTGCCAAAGTAACGTTCCTCAAGCCAGCAACATATCTTACATGAGCATCCATGTCCTCTCTACTAGCAAAACCTCCTTCCGGATTACCGAAATCGGTTGAAATGTCTTCAAACTCTACATATGAACTATGATCCTGGAATGGATCACTTTGTGTTTCGTCGATGACGAATTCAACTTCATCAAGATTTATGGAGTTGTAATCTCCAGAATTCATATTGTTTGTGATTGTAATTGTAAGTGTTTGAGTTGTGAGTGTTTGAGTTGTGATTGTGATTTGAAAAACTTAAACTGTTGGCCTTTTTATAGGTAAAAATCTAAGAGGTCAAAATCAATTTTGACATTTTGAGTGCTCAAATCAAATTAGTAAAAAATTCTGAGTGGTGTAATTCTAAGGGGTCAAAATCAATTTTATGTAATTTGTGTAAATTGTATTGGAAATGAAAATTGTTATAAAAATTCGAAATCGGAATTCGAAGCCAACCGGACACCATAAAATCGATTTGACCACATTTTCACCACATTTTCACCAATTTTTCTACCGTTTTCACCACCGGAAAATTTATGCACACACAAAATTACATTAATTGTTGAAAATGTGGTGCATAAAAATCCCCGTAGTATTAATCTATGGGGAAAATTTATGCACCACATTTTCATGCACACACAAAATTACATTAATTTAATGCACACTTTGAGCATCGAATATTTATTAGAATATTCATTACGGTCACAAAATAAAGTTATATTATTACAAAATTACATTAGGAGTTATAACTACGGTCACAAAATTAATCTACTTTATTTTTGGAAACCATGAAAATACATTCCACATTCCAAGGTAGGTCTCTGATAATATTTCATTTCATTTCATTCCACATTCCAAGGTAGGACTCTGATTATATTCCACAAAATTAATCTACTTTATTTATGAAATGCACACACAAAATTAATATTCTAATAATGTTCATAAAATTACTACGGTCACAAAAGTAGATTAATACAATTAAATGGCAAGAATACATTATTTTTGGAATATAACTACGGTCACATTGAGCATCGACGAAATTTATTTGAAGCCAATTTTTGGAATATAACTACGGTCACAAAAGTAGATTAATGTACATTTAATGTACAAAATTTAACCAAGATCTGGGCATCTAAACAGTAGTCCACATTAAATGTACAAAATTTATTACTACGGTCACATTAAATGGCAAGAATACAATGCCAATCCGGTACCACATTTAATCAATAGTCCACATTAAATGTACAAATTTTTGGAAGCCAACCGGATTTAATGCTCACACAAAAGTAAAAATTTATTGCACACACAAAAGGGTATTTTCGGCAATCCCACTCCCAAAGTTACTGTTTGGGAGTGGATATAGCAAATGTGGTGAAAAGGCCGTAGGTTAGAAGTTGCCCAAAGATTTGTCCGAGCAGTTTCATCGGAGCATCCTAAAGCTCACCAAAAAAATAAAAATAAATAAAAGACCAGAGCGTTCAATCAAAAGTCTCCTCTTCTTCTTTTTCTCTCTCTCCGTCAAAATGGCTGACGGCGGTATAACTGTCCTTGACGGAACCCAACTACTCAACGCCGATCTCCGTCTCCCACTCCCTAACGGCGCCGTCACCGGATCCCAACTGATCCCTCTCTGCGAATCCGAGGCGTCCGCTCACCTCTTCGGCCTCTCCCTGCCCGTTTCCGCTAAGTCCGCCGTCATCCAGAGACTTAACGGTAACGGCGATTTGCGTTCTAAGGAGTTCGGCGAGGGAGAATCTCAGAAAGCCATGATCAAGGAGTACCTTGTTACCCTTGCTGATGAACTGAAAGGTCTAAACTGCGCTTGTTAAATCTGATAATTTTACATTTCAGTGTAATTTTGATTTACTTTTCTGTGTTATGAAGTTGGTTTTCAGGCATTCGGGCTGATCTTTTGACTGCAGACTGTAATTTGGCAAATTGGGTTGGGTGGAGGCTTTATGATAGTTTTTGGAAATTTTGGTTTTCTATAGATACCCTTGAATGATGTAGCTTAGGTTCAATTTATAATTAATTGTGTTGTTATAAAAATGGGTTCCAGGCATTTGGTTGGTTTGTTGATCGCTGAGTTTAATTTTGGAAATTTATTTGGGTTGAGGGCTTATGATACTATGATGGATGCCTAAGCTGTTGGCAATTAACCCATTTTGAAATGATGAGTTGGGTGTTGGGTTTTTATTAGACTTTGAAGTAGTCAATTTCCCTTAAATGATTGTTCTGTATGTAGAATTTTAGAATGTTTTGTTTGTAGTTGAGTTAGGGTTAGGGACTTGATTGAGAATCTACAGTGTAGTGGAATTGAGAATGTTACAGATTTTAAACTTTTTTTTGTTTGCAGTTGTGTTTGGGCTAGGTACTGGATTGAGAATCTACAGTGTAGTAGCAATGAGAACGTTACAATGGACTCATGAATATACACTAAGAGATAGGATAAATAATGAGAGGCTGGAGGTTGCTTTTATTGAGGATGAAATGAGAGAGAATCAATTGAGATGGTTTGATCATGTGGAATGTAGGTTGCTAGAGATAAGCCTCAGAGAACATAGTTGGAAGCAATTAAGAAGCATACGATAATGGTTAACTTAATGGAGGATATAACTAAAAGAGAAAAGAAAAAAAAAGAATACGATTCATGTTATTTAACTCCATATTTTTTTTTTGGGGTTGCAATAAAGGGAGTTTGACAGTGGAAAAACTCAGAAAGAGAAGGTCAACCAGAAGGTCATACACTTCGGATAACCCTCAACCGGAACAAGGACATATTAATTGTTTCGATAAATATCAACAAATATTTTTAATCAAGGATGGATCTAGTAGAGTATGATGCACTCAGTTTAACTATAACCATTGTCGTCCTTGTATCAGTTGTGTGTCACTTTTTTTAAATCCATCAAAAGTTCATATAACTTTAAGTCCATAAAAACGCTTTGAGCCAAGTTCAAGCTTCCAGATTAGTTCCGTGATCATTCTTCAAGTCCAGAACAATTCATCAGAAATCTGGGCTCAAGCTTCTCCAATTGTATATCAACCACCATTGAGGTAGGTTAAGTTTGAAGTTGCGTGCTTGTTTAAGTCCATAATTGGACGAAATATGTTCTTAACATTTGTGCTGATTCTGACTGATGCTAACTTGGAATACATTGTCAGTAATTATCTACTTGATTGCTAGTTTTTATTTGTTTGTAGATTTAGCCAAAGATTTTAAATCGAAGTTAACATTTTCATATATTCTAAATTTTTTATGGTGATAGTGACAGTTACCTTTTAGAGGATTTGATTCCTCATAGCAATCAAAACTTAGAAATCTGCTTTGAGAAGGATACTTCTGTTTTGTATAGTTTATGAAGTTATCGAGGAAACACAAACCACCTAACTCAGTGACGATGTTTTAATTGAGAAAAAATGACCATCTAAGTAGGCTTGTGGGGGTACTAACTCCTACTTCATTGCCATATTGATATTGGTAACTTTATTTAAAGCTCATGCAACCAAGAACCACCCTAGAAATCTTCACGGCCAAGGAAGAGTGTTCAGGAAGAGGTTCAAATTTTGAATTTTCTACAGGGAACTTCATCCATATCTGTCTACTGGTATACTTCAGCAAGCTAAAGAATGGACATCCCTAGTGCCGAATTTTTGAATAGAACATGCATTGAACTACAAACATTGCACCAAGGAAAATTTTGTCTGCCTCAAACATTATGGTATAAGATGAGAAAAATTATGTTTACATAGCTTCTGTTTATACTGTTAATTTGATTTACTTGTGCATCTTGGTTTGGGACATGCATTGAAATACAAACATCGCACCAATGACAATTTTATCTCTGCCTCAAATACTATGGTATAAGATGAGAAAAATTATGTTTACATAGCTTCTGTTTATCCTGTCAATTTGATTTACTTGTTCAGCTTGGTTTGAGACTTATGCTTTCAGTGTATTCACAAATCTTCTTGCTGTGATAATAATCATATATCGGCAATTATAACTTAATCCTTGGAGATACTATTTTTACATTTGGTTTCTTCAGCTGTACAATATATGAATGCTGTTATTTGTTAAACAGGAGCTCTGAGGAATTTCTTGCCTTAATTCATCCATTTATTGTGCTACAAGCTCTTTACATTACCTGACATTTACTTTTTATGTAGATGATCCTCTTGTTATTTCAATTTTGGATGGACATGCTCTTCGAGTTTTCATGGATGATGAAGATGATTTTGCTATGTTGGCAGAAAGTCTTTTCACTGATCTCGATGTAGATGATAGAGGAAAACTCAGCAAAAATGAGATACAAAATGCTCTGGTTCACATGGGAGTGGGAATGGGGGTTCCTCCTTTTTCGGGTAAAATGCTTTAGGATGTTACTAATGTTGTTAGGTACAAGTTTATATTATGTGGTCATTTCTTTGCACTAAATAGAATTTGTATAAGTGAACAAATAGCATTCCATGTCAAATGTATACCATCCTCTTTATACTCAGTTTGCCTAATGTTTGCCATATTATATTTTTCTGACATTTAGGTTTCTGCTAAGCTGAAATCAGGATCAAGTATTCCATGCTAATCTTACTTCATTAGATATGCGTTTATTAATGTGAGTACTTAGTTTTGACGGGGTACTTTATCCCATTTGAGAAAAAAATATCTCCTTGTTGCTTTATCTGAAAGTCAGTTCGTTTTATTTATGTAGATAGAATGGGGCTAAGATTGTTTTTCCCCCTATCTCTGTGTTCTCACTGGTCATGATTTTCCCCCGATCTCTGTGTTCTCACTGGTCTTGATTTTGTTATTATCTTATGCTAATTAACTATATTATCTAGTGTGTCGTCTTAATACTTTTATGCAGCATGTCTGTAAATAGCATTGTTGGCTTATGGTTTCTGGGGAGATCTTATGTTGGATTTAGGTGCTAGGCAACATGCAGGTAGATAAACTAAATAGCTGTTTAATATAATGGATGAAAGAAATTTATCTCATACATTTAAACATCAATAGATATAAAGTAAATATAGTTGTCTTACTATAATTTATCTAGTAAATACTTTAATGTATTGTGAAGGCAATAAAGTAGGTGTATTTATGCTACAGAATGAAGCATATAATGTGATATGGATTTATACTCTATGTTGCCATGTATTATAACTTATAATATAGAACAAATAAATAAATAAGTAAATAATAAATGATCATTACTAAACTATTGTAGATATTATTATGTTGTGGGATATAATATGTTTCATGTCTTTTTAATATACCAGCATTGTCTTGCTTTGAACTGTATTTGGGACCTTCAGATTGATTAATCTCCTAGTGACTGGTGAGAGAGGTGTATCATAGGATAAATAGATAGTCATTTCTCCTCCCTTGGTGGGCTTAATTGATAACATCTAAATTTTCATCGTGTATGAAGTCCATGTGAGTGGGGCCCAGCCATGTGCGTGAAACAATTCACGCGCTGAGTCTAGCGGACAAAAAAAAACGCGGTTTCGTAGTTTCCGCGGCCTACCCGAACACCCACGTCGACCTCTCCTATAAATAATTTGTCACCTAGGTTTTTGTGTGTGCAGGAGATTTGTTTTGTGGCTGTGGGTATTCTTTTCGGCAGAGCAAGCAAAAAGAGAAGTACATGGGATCTTTGGTGGCTGCGTGCGCAGGTACAAGTACGAAAAAGGCAGAAGGGCTGGAGTGTGCAAGGATTTGTTTTTCGACAGAGGTGATTGTGCAGTCCTTTTGTGCTTTTGTAGAGAGATATTGTGAGGGATTTGAGAATTTGTTTGAGGGTTTAGGTTGTGAGTGATTGTAAACCATAGTTGTAATCTCTCCCTCTAATAGTAGATCGCCCCCCTCCTTGCCCCATGAACGTAGGTAATTTGTCGAACCATGTAAAATTGGTTGTATCGCTATTTGTGTGATTTGTAATAGCTTTTAGGTTCCCTCGACAGGTCAGTCCTAGAACTGATGAGAGGAAGAGCTGATATCTCACTTGATTAAGATATTTTACTTCAGATTCTTGTTTCCTTGGTGAGACAGGAATTCTTATTGCGATCTGACTCTCTTGTTGTGCTGTCGAAGTGCTATCAAAATTTTCGCTGCGCGCAACAAGTGGTATTAAAGCCCAGATTTCAGATCTAGGGTTTTAGAGTTTGGTGGAGGAAGATTCTTGTGTGAAGCTTAGTTCTTGGAGTTCTAGGCTTTGATGGAGATATCATTAGGAGTTGTCGTTGGAGATTTCGTTTTCCTCGTGTGGATAGGAGATCTATTTGGAATCTGATCTAGGGTTCAGTTGGGTGGTTCCTAATTTTTATTAAATTTGTTCTTTTTTTATAATTTGGAGTTAGTTTGCAATGGGAGAAGAAGGTGAAAGCAGCAAGTCGATGGAGAGTACAATACAAGTTGGTTTTCAGAGCACTAAAATTAGTGTGGTGAAGTATGACGGTAAAATCAACTTTGGTTTGTGGATGAGCGACGTACAGGATGCGCTCAATGCTCAGAACTTGGAAGAGACCATCATGGTCCACGAGAGACCACCTAAATATGAAGAGACGGTATGAGAGAAGATGAATAGAAACGCTTGTGAGGTGATCAGGTCATGTTTGGAACAAGAGCTAAAGTATGATGTGATTGGGGTGACGTCTGTAATGAAGATGTGGGAAATTCTCAATAAGTATCTCACAAAGAGTGTTGAGAATAGGTTACACTTGTTGCGAAGACTCTTCAGATTTCAGATGTCCAGAGGCACCTCGCTAGCGGCTCATATGAACAACTACACTAAGTTATTGTCGTATTTGGCGAATGTTGATGAGAAAATATCGGATGAGTACAAGGTGATTATTTTGTTGGACTCTTTACCGGATGAAGAGTATGATACATTTGTGCTTACTTTGTTGAATGGGAGATCTTCTATCAGCTATAGTGAAGTGACTAACGCATTGATCAATTACGATTTGAGGAGGAAGGACAAGGAGACTTCCCGTGCTAGCACTTCAGGCGAGGTCTTGTCGACGAGAGGTAGAAGCCAATATCTGAAAGTTGGTAATAGAAGAAGGTCAAAGTCAAGAAGCCGTCACCAATTAGCAAAGAACCAATGTGCATTCTGCAAGGAGCAGGGATATTGAAAGAGAGACTGCCCAAAGCTCAAGGAGAAAGAGAATGGTAAGAAAAAGGGCCCAAAGACCAATGAGGTGAATATTACGAAAGGCGATGATTCCGATGATTCATGTTTTTTTCTATTGATTACTCCGAAGGTGAATCATGTGGATGCATCAGATTGGATGCTTGATTTCGACGCTATTTATCATGTGACCCCTAGGCGAGACTGGTTTGCATCTTTTGAGAGAATCGACGGGGGTGTTGTTGTCATGAGAAATGATCAATCCTGTGACATTTGTGGGATAGGTACCGTGCAGGTTAGGATGCACGATGGAGTAGTCCGTGAATTGAAAGAGGTGAGATTCGTTCCTCAGCTGAAGAAAAATCTTATCTCAGTTGGAGCTTTGGAGGCAAAGGGATTCAATGTGACATTTGAAGACGTTGTAGCAAAGGTTACTAAGGGATTTTTGGTGGTGATGAAAGGAGTCCGCAGTCAGAACTTATACTATCTGAAGGGGAGTATCGAGATTGGTCAGGTTACTTCGGCTATTTTAGAGGCGGACATGAGCAGGCTTTGGCATTATAGGTTAGGGCATACAAGTAAAAAGTCACTACATGCATTGTGCAAGCAGGAGCTATTGAAGGGAGCCAAGAGTGGGAAGATTAAGTTCTGTGAGCACTGTGTTCTTGACAAGAAGACGAAGGTGAAGTTCAGGATTACCATTCATTAGATGAGGGGTATCCTGGACTACGTGCACACAGACGCTTGGGGTCCCACCAAGACTGCATTACTTGGTGATCGACATTGGTTCGTCACGTTCGTTGATGACCAAGGTTGCATAGGTACGGGTACGGGTACGGACACGGGTACGGGTACGGGACACGGGACACGGCAAATTTGTAAAAAGTAGGGTACGGAGACACGGCTCATATACCAAACACAAGCCCAGCTTTATAACTCAAACCCTAGTCCTCTAACAAAACGGAAAAAGAAACCCTGGATCATATTTGTCGGCTCCTCTCTGTTCTCTCCTCCTTCAGATCGAGATCGGCTCCTCTCTCCTCCTTCAGATCCGACTCCATGTGGATTCTGGGGCTAGGGTTTTCACCGTTCTCCCTCGAATCTCGTCATCGACTCCTCCCTCCAAGCTCGTCGTCCCTCGAAGGCTGGAAATTGTTTCGTCGAGCTCTGATTTCGTCGTCGAGGAGTTGGTTTTCGACGTCGATCTCTGATTTCGTCGTCGAGGAGTTGGGTTTTCGTCGTCGATCTCTGATTTCGAGCTCTGATTTCGTCGTCGAGGAGTTGGGTTTTCGTCGTCGATCTCTGATTTCGAGCTCTGATTTCGTCGTCGAGGAGTTGGGTTTTCGTCGTCGAGCTCGAAGGTGGTAAAGGGCCTAAAGGCTCAATCGCTTCAGGTTGGTTTTTTTCCCCGCACAAAAATTTCAGGTTGGTTTTTTTTCCCGTCGCGAGTGAATTTGGCGTGTCGCTGCCGTTTGGGTGCGGATCCGCACCCAAAACGTACCCGACACGGGTACGGGACCTAGAATGACGTGTCGGGGTAACATAGTTGATGACTATTCTAGGCGTTGGGTGTACACCATGACGAAGAATAGTGAAGTCCTAGATTTGTTTGTGGAGTGGAAAAATAGATTAGAACTACAGACTGGGAGAAAGATCAAGACGTTGCGATCCGACAACGGTGGTGAGTATACTTCAGACCTCTTTTTGCAGCTATGTCGAGACGAGGGCATAGAGAGGCACTTCACGGTTAGTCATACACCGCAGTAAAATGGGGTGGCAGAGAGGTTGAATCGGTCTTTACTGGAGAAGATCCGATGCTTATTGTCACAGAGTGATTTGGAGAAGATCTTTTGGGCGGAGGCACTTACATATGCGAGCCATCTTATTAATAGGCTGCCTTCATCTGCGATTGAGGGGAAAACCCCTATGGAGAAGTGGTCAGAAGAGCCAGCATACGACTATGACCAGCTCAAGATATTCGGGTGTCCTGTATTTTATCATGTGAGAACAGATAAATTGGAACATCGAGCTAGGAAGGCCATATTTGTAGGGTTCAAATCTGATGTTAAGTGATACAAGCTTTGGGATCCAGTTGATAAGAAGATTATGCTGAGTAGGGACGTCACGTTTGATGATGTTTCTATCTTGAAGCTTTCTAACTCATCAGGTGGAGAGCGATCCGACGGAAGAGATATCACAGGTGGTGGAGATCGATGCAGCTCCACATTGTTCAGATGGTACAGTATCCATTAGAGTATCGACTGAGGTGACGTCAGGCGAGCACGACGGTGACACGGAAGATACGGGTACTAATATGCAGGATCAGGGACCGACGACTTAGGTTCAGGATTCGATTGCGGTTCGGAGACAGAGGAAAAACATACAGATGCCAGCACGGTATGCCGACACAGTTGCGTATGTACTTCTGGTGGAGAGTATCGATGAGATGGTGCCTATTATATTCAGAGAGGCCGAGCAGAGTTCGGAGCCTGATTCGTGGCAGGTAGCTATGCAGGAGGAGATGGAGTCTCTTCACAAGAATGATACATGGGAGCTTGTTCAGCTTCCAAAGGGGCGGAAGGCAATTGGTTGCAAGTGGGTATACACGAAGAAGGAGGGCATTGAGGGCACTCCATTGAGGTTCAAAGCTAGGTTGGTTGCGAAGGGCTATGCACAGGAGGAAGGTATTGACTATAATGAGGTTTTCTCTCCGGTGGGAAAATATTTTTCGATTCGGATTTTGCTAGCTTTGGTGGCACAGTATGGTTTGGAGTTAGATCAGTTGGATGTGACGATTCGGATTTTGCTAGCTTTGGTGGCACAGTATGGTTTGGAGTTAGATCAGTTGGATGTGAAGACGAAATTTCTTCATGGTGATCTTGATGAAGAAATATATATGACTCAGCTATCGGGATTCCGAGCTGCAGGGAAGGAAAAATTAGTTTGCAGATTTAAGAAATCGCTATACGGTTTGAAACAGTCTCCTCGACAGTGGTATAGGTGATTTGATGGTTTTATGATTGGTCATTCGTACACTCGGAGCCAGGTCTCCTCGACAGTGGTATAGGTGATTTGATGGTTTTATGATTGGTCATTCGTACACTCGGAGCCAGTTTGATCCTTGCGTATATTTTCGCATTTTATGATTGGTCATTCGTACACTCGGAGCCAGTTTGATCCTTGCGTATATTTTCGCAAGTTGAAAGGAAGTGCGTACATCTATTTGTTACTTTATGTCGATAACATGTTGGTTGTCTCTATTTCCAGATCTGCTATAGATGAGTTGAAGGCACAACTTTCAAAGGAGTTTGAAATGAAGGACTTGGGTGAGGCGAAATGCATTCTAGGGATGGAGATCGGCAGAGACAAGAAAAATGACAGAATTTGTTTGACACAGGTGGCTTATTTGAAGAAGGTTCTACAGCAATTCCATATTTTAGCATGGATACGAAGCCAGTTTGTGTACCTTTGGGAGCCCATTTGACGCTCTCAGCTGGTCTTTCACCAAAGTCAGTTGAAGATCGAGAGTTGATGTCGAAGACTCCATATGCGAACGCGGTTGGTAGATTGATGTACGCGATGGTATGTACGATGTCAGATTTGTCACAGGCGGTGAGCATGATTTCGAGATACATGCACAATTCAGGAGTAGGTCATTGGGACGTTGTGAGATGGATTTTGAGGTACATTCGAGGTACGCTCAATGTTGGTTTAATTTATGAGCGGGACACTATAGGTGGGCAGCTATGCATTGGTTATGTTGATTCGGATTATACCGGGGATTTGGATAAGCGCCGGTCTACTACGGGGTATGTTTACTTTGACCCGTGCATCGGTGTGTTGGAGATGCACCTTATAGTCGACGGTGGCTTTGTCTACGACGGATGCAGAGTGTATGGCGGTTACGGAGGCTGTGAAGGACGCTATTTGGCTTCGAGGACTTTTGGAGGAACTTGGTATATCGCAGAGGTCCGTTACTATTCATTGTGATAGCAAGAGTGCTATCTATTTGGCGAAGAATCAGGTTTTTCATGCGCGGACGAAGCACATTGGTGTTCGTTATCACTTCGTTCGGGATGTTCTTGAAGATGACGATGTGGAGATTGTGAAAGTCCACACGAATGATAATCCGACGGATATGCTCACTAAGGTGGTTCCGAGCAACAAGTTTGCTCATTGTTGAAACTTATTGCATATTCGTGATTGTTGAGATCGTTGGCGGCCATTAGGGTGAACTACGTGAGGCTTGATTCCTTGGGCAAGAGGATACGTAGACAGTCTTTACGATGCAGTCGGTTTGGATTAGTTGATTTTGATGGGGGTGAGATTGTTTGGACTCTCGTTCGGGTTCTCGACTTGTGGATTGAGTTCGTACTGGTCACAACAAGTGGGACAATTGGATGCTTTGGTATCGGCTCAGTTTTGGGAAAACTTCGCCGATGTGGAGAATTGTGAGTGGGGCCCAGCCATGTGCGTGAAACAATTCACGCGATGAGTCCAGCGGACAAAAAAAAAACGCGGTTTCGTAGTTTCCGCGGCCCACCCGAACACCCACGTCGACCTCTCCTATAAATAATTTGTCACCTAGGTTTTTGTGTGTGCAGGAGATTTGTTTTGTGGCTGTGGGTATTCTTTTCGGCAGAGCAAGCAAAAAGAGGAGAAGTACAGGGGATCTTTGGTGGCTGCGTGCGCAGGTACAAGTACGAAAAAGGCAGAAGGGCTGGAGTGTGCAAGGATTTGTTTTTCGGCAGAGGTGATTGTGTGCAGTCCTTTTGTGCTTTTGTAGAGAGATATTGTGAGGGATTTGAGAGTTTGTTTGAGGGTTTAGGTTGTGAGTGATTGTAAACCCTAGTTGTAATCTCTCCCTCTAATAGTAGATCGCCCCTCCCCCCCTCCTTGCCCCGTGGACGTAGGCAATTTGCCGAACCATGTAAAATTGGTTGTATCGCTATTTGTGTGATTTGTAATAGCTTTTAGGTTCCCTCGACAGGTCAGTCCTAGAACTGATGAGAGGAAGAGCTGATATCTCACTTGGTTGAGATATTTTGCTTCAGATTTTTGTTTCCTTGGTGAGACAGGAATTCTTATTGCGACCTGACTCTCTTGTTGTGCTGTCGAAGTATTGTCGAAATTTCCGCTGCGCGCAATAGTCCATCTGTATATTTTCTCCTTTTCATAGTTGAAATCTGTATTGAAATAGATTTTAATGATTTTCACTCTTTATTGATACTTTTTTCCTGTATATGCAACCAGAATCCAGAGATCTTTTAGATAGCATCTTAAAGGAACATGGAGCTGAAGGGGAAGAACAATTGGGACAATCACAATTTGCTGAATTACTGCAGACCGTCATACAGGACCTTGCAGATGCTTTATCCAAAAAGAATGTTACCGTCATTCGGAATATTAAGGTCATCAATGGTTCTAAGCTGAAGAAGGTGTGTTTTTTTCTTTTCGTATTAATCTATTTATTTTATCTTCTTCTCTAGCAGCCATTAAGGTTATGTATGTTCTTTAATGCATCTCCCGAGATTTAACAGTCCAACAGAAATTCGATGTCTTGTAATGATTGATTACTTTGAATGATTTTCATTTATTTTCAACAAAGTGACATGGGCTAATTTGAATGTTTTTCATTTATTTTTGATAAAGTGGCACGGATTGCCAATTAACTTGAGGTGTATAATGGTAATATTTATGTTGATGAAAGCAAGTATCTTGGATGTCGGTTTCTAAGGATTATCAAGTAACATAATACCTTAGACACAGAACTTAGTTGCAATGCCTGATACTTACAGATAATGTATAATTTTCTTCAGCAGAATACATGCATCATGAACATTGTACACTTTATTATAATGATTGAGCTTTATATTACCTATGCAAATTCAATTGATTTCTTGTCATGAAAATTGTGAATCTTGGTATAAGAAAGCATAACATGCTTGGTGCTTCCAATTATTTCTGGATGCAACTAGGATATTCAGAATTTCATTGTTCATGTTGGTGAATTGTCACCGACCTGTTTTAGAACTGTTATTGCAAGGGGTTTCCTAAATTGAGTAAATTAATTTAGTAATTGAAGGAAAATTGCTGGTAGAGTATTGTATTTGTAAGTTATCATTAGCCGGTATTAAGTTTCCCTTCTCACGATTCCTTTCACGATGGAGAAAATTCTTAAAGCTTTATAGCCTCAAAATGACCTCTTCTCTCTATCCCCCCATTTAAAAATAGAAAACCTTATTATATTGCTTATTATTAACCCCCGCCTAACTGTTACCCTCTTTGCAGATCAAACAGCACTGCCCCCCACCCCCCCCCACCCACCCACCCCCAAAAAAAAAAAAATAACTCCCGGAAAAAAAAAGACATCACACCACAAAGACAGAAGGGAAAAACAAAGCCCCGGGCATTTTCTAATGTACCCTTTACGTCCTTCCACCTTGGATTCCTCTCATTTTCTGTTAAAGAGCATTCTCGGCGGGATTCTCTGTTAAAATGATAGCTTTTTTCAAATACTACTAATCTATCCCTAGTTATCCTTTTGGGGCTAAGGGCATCTCCAACGCAGCGCCGCTGCGTTGAACTGTTCGAGCTCCAACCGTGCCGCATTTTTTGCGGCACTTTGGAGGAGATGAAAAGTGTGACGCCAAATATGGTGTCGTACTGTTCATCCGCGTTATTACTATGCATTGTTTTAAATTTTTTAAAATATTTATTTTTAACCTCTTAATTAATATAAAAGTAGATAAAAGGGAATAAACTAAGAATATTCTGAGAATATTCTTTTTTGGTGTAAAAAATGGTGCAATGGGTTGGAGATGTATTAGTGTTTGATGTGATTTTTGCGCTATTTTGATGCAAAATTTGCACCATTTTGGTGCAATGGGTTGGAGATGGTCTAAATCTGCCAATTGTATAGATTCGGGGGGGAGAGAGAGAGAGAGAGAGTATATTAAAAAAACCCTAAATAGAAAAGTGATGCATTAATATTCTCAGCCTGAGTGTATCGTCTTTAGTGATTTACTTTATCTTAAGAAACAATGGCATTATAAATTCTGCATGTTTCGTTGTTTACATCCTGTACTATTTGTCTTAACTGGAATCCTTCGTGGGAAATTTGCAGATTTTGGCCGATGAAAACCTTCTTAGCAGTGTGCTGGAGAGCATGTTCCAGGAGTGGGATACTACAACAAGAGGAGCAGGCAACAAGGAGAAGTTAAGGGCTATTATAGAGTCAAAAGCACCAGAATTGAGTCTTCCCCCGTCTGAAACCAGTGAAGCAACAGTTCTTCTTTACGATCAGGTCTTCGAAAATGTTAGTGAAGAAACTGGAAGTTTAAACAGGTTTGCATTTCTCAAGACTGTCAAGACCATCTTAGAGATGTTTGCAGACCAACTGGAAGCAAACCCAATTTTCGTTGATTTTGAGAGTTGAAACAAGTTGGGGTTTCCTAGCCTTTGATTACCTTGTTGTTGTTGTTGTTGTTTTTTCTATACATTACATATCTTCAGCTATCTACAGGTGTTATAATCATTTAAAATGAAAACTTCATTTCTTCTTTTTCTTTGAAATAAGTATTATATGGGCTCCAGGTTTCTTCTCACAGATTTGCTTTCTCACTGGTGGTTTTGCTATTGCACTTGAGATGAAACCACTATTTGCATTTTTATGAGAGCAGCCATCAAATCGGGGATTACATATCTTCAGCTATCTCACTGGTTGTTTCTATACATTACATATCTTCAGCTATCTTTGAAATATGTATTAGTCATACGAGGGGATTAAAAAAAATTTGACAAAAAAGCCCACTACCTCGCTTTTTTTCTTTCCGCAAAATTTCTTTTCCTCCATCATTTTTTTTTTGCAAAATAGTTTTGTTTGCGGTTATTTTTCCTAGGGCATATCTATTTATATCCAAAAAAATAGAACAAGAAATAGAGAAAATCTCACCTGCGATTTCACCTTTGTTGCTCTCAACTGGTGGATGTTTGCATCAATTTGTGTATTTGTATGCTTCAGACACTTGTCTTTGTCAATTTCTCTTTTTTTTTCTCACTACTTTCCTAACCACTACTTGGCTTTATTGTGTAAACTGTGGCTTGATTGGATATGATATAGGGCTAATAAGTAGTAATATCATCTTTATCTAGTAATTAAATGTACATTTAGAAGTTGTTTGAATAAATATTTTTAATGAGTATAGTCTCTAATAGCATGATATTAATTATTGAATAAATGATCATAACCATCTAATATGTTTCTGATAAAAAAAATATGGTATTTCTTCCATAAAGTTCTATGATTCTTTCCTTTTTTTATTGTTTTCATCTAAATTATAATCAATCTATAATATGTCTTCCCACTCTTTTCTTTAAAAGTATGTCTTTCTCCTCCCAATCCAGGTTTAGAAGTGCTAGAAACTATTTTTAAATAATATATGATATGGTCAGCAATGCTAGTAATAACAATCTAATGGTCAATATCTTTTTTATTGTTTCATGCTAAATAATAATAAGGAAATATATATTGTAACATTTTTAAATTATTCAAGTGTACTTTGACTTTCTAGATAAGTTAAGCCTAAATTTTAATTCTTTTCCCAAACATATGCATAAATACCATATTAGTTGATTTGAGGATAAAAAGTTCATTTTAGTTATTATATAGTCCAAACAGTCATAATCCTCTTAATAACAAACACCAATATAGAATATTTTAAGTTAATTCGAATATTAATCCATGTCAAAATAGATATTAGATTAGACTATAATAACCCTTCTCAGTATTATAGTCCGAGGAATATGTGACCTTAATATATGGAGATAATTTTAGTCGTTATCACCACTTTATTAAAACTTTCAAACAATATATAAAATAAAATCTCCTCTATTCTCCTTACTAAACTCTCAAATAAATATTTATATAATGCATGGTAAGGATAAATTACAAAAAAAAAACCCTTTAAAACTTTGGGGTGTTTTCGAGAACTTGTTTTCTCCTATTAAACCCTTTTTTAAGATTTCCACGAAACCTCTTCTCTCTTCCCACATAACCCCTCAAACTTTCTTTTCCTTCTGCACACGTCAAGAGTGGAGCTCTCTGTGGTTGCTTGTCCTTTTCTTATTTTATAATTTTCAAATCCTATGTATTTTCTACTGAATTCTATTTTTAATATTAGGAAAGTAGTAAATTCTTCAAGATGATTTCCTCATCCAAACACATTTAATTGAAGAAAGATTTTGTAATTAAAGAGTTATTACATAGATCTCTACAAATGCAATTAACCCTACAAGGAGCTTATGGTTCAAGACCGACGGTGTTATTTTTTTTGGGGGGGCAAGTACATTTTACCAGACCCTTTGATTTTGGAGGGTTTTTTTTGTGCGCTAAACCCCCTGGATTTATAAGTGAAAGAGCCCCTCTGAACTTTCAAGATTATACTAAACCCATACAAATTGTTGGAAAATCTCATAAGCATCATTAACGGATAGATTAATAAGTTTGAGCTGTGATAAAGATGAAAATATATAATGAAGATCATTTGATTAATAAGTTTGTGAGACTTATTTTTTAGTCAAACTAGCTTTTAAGCTTGCATTTTTATTTCTACCTATTTGGTAAATCACCAAATAAGTTAACTTATAAGTCTCATTTTAAAAAGCTAGTATACCCTAGCTTTTGAAAAACTAGCTTACAAACTCACTTAAAAAAGTTAGGTTTGACCAAGCAAATTACTATTGTACTCAAATAATTTTTATATTATTTTTATCAAAAATTAAAAGCCAGTATAACTTATAAGTTTCAAAAAATAAGCCTTCCTAAACACCCTTTAACAAATCTAAAAAATTAAGCTTCTTGCCTTATTTTCATTCTCTAAGATAACCCTTTTAAGTTTAATTTATTTACAATTATAGGTGTGGAAAGGTTTATAACCATCTTATCCCTTAGAACAAATTTTTAAAATAGACCCTATTAAAAATTTAATTTAAAAATTGACCCATTTAAGATATGATTACTATTTACGACCTAGTTTCTAGCATTTGGCTGAAACTGGGTAGAAAATGGTAAAAAAAGTTTCAAAAACTTCACGTGACTCTAAATCCCATGAAGTTTAGTTTAGTGGTTATTAGGCTTAGGCTAGTTGTATATTGATTAGGCTGGGTAACTAAGCACTAAACTTCACAAGATTTAAAATTCTGTGAAGTTTTATTTACCATTATCGACCCAGTTTCAGCCAGTTGGTTAAAACTAGGTAGAAAATGGTGAATAAAATACAAATGAGTTACTTTTTACAAATAAATTATAAATACGGTCTATTTTGAAAATTTATCCTATCCCTTAATTTGTGAATGAGAGATAGAAAATTACTCTGCACTCCAAAAATTACAGATGGACCCTAAATAGGACTTTTTGTTTTTGTTTATGTTGCGCTCCCACTGGGAATGGGAATGAACTGGTACCCTGTAGAAACTTCCAATTACACAATAAAATTAATAAATGTTGCGCGCAGCGAAAATTTCGGCAGCACCTCGGCACAACAATAGAGTTAGATCGCAATAAGAATTCTTGTTTCTCAAAGGGAACATGAATCTAAAGCTGAATATCCCATCAAAGTGGGATATTAGCTCTTCCTCTCGTCAGTTCTAGGACTGCTTGTCGAGGGAACCTAAAAGCTATTACAAATCATACAAATAGCGAGACAACCAATTTTACGTGGTTCGGCAAATTGCCTACATCCACGGGGCAAGGAGGGGGAGAGATCTACTATTAGAGATAATACAAATAGGACTTACACACACACAAGATCTCACAAATAAAACCCTTACAATCTCTCTCTCAAAAGGATACTCAAAACCCTAAAAATAGGCCTCTGCCTTTTCTTTTGCATAGCCGCACATGAAGATTTTTCTCCAGCCGTAAAAACCAAATCCTTGCACTTGCACCGCCACTTTCTTTCTGCGTTCCCCTCTTTTGCACACCCTCCAAAAATACCCTAGCATGGGTATTTATAACATTTCGATCGGGTGGACCAAAAAAAACGAACAGGAAATAAATGAACGTCCACTGTATCTCCAAGTGTGGCCCCCACAATCACTTCCGCGTTCACAATTCTCCACCTCGGTGAAGTTTTTCCAAAATTGAGCCGACACCAAAGCAACCAAATATCTCACTTGTTGTGTCCAGTACGCCGTGAAGTTAATTCACGACAACGGACTCAATCCACAACAAGTCGGGAATTCACGACAACGGACTCAATCCACAACAAGTCGGGAACCCGAACGAGAGTCCAAACAATCTCACCCCATCAAAATCAACTAATCCAAACCGGCTGCATCTGAACCACCCCATCAAAATCAACTAATCCAAACCGGCTGCATCTGAAAGACTGCCTACGTATCCTCTTGCCCAATGAATTAAGCCGAACGTAGTTCACCCAAATGGCTGCCAACGACCTCAACAATCACGAATGTGTAAAAAGCTTCTATAATGATCAAACTTGTTGCTCGGAACCACCTTAGTGAGCAATATCCGCTGGATTATCCTTCGTGTGGACCTTCACAATCTCCACATCGCCATCTTCAAGAACATCACGAACGAAGTGATAACGAACGTCAAATGTGCTTCGTCCTCGCATGAAAAACCTGATTCTTCGCCAAGTAGATAGCACTCATGCTATCATAATGAATAGTGATGGATTGCTGCGATATACCAAGTTCCTCCAAAAGTCCTCGAAGCCAAATAGCCTCATTCACAGCCTCCGTAACCGCCATATACTCTGCCTCCATCATAGACAAAGCTACTGTCGACTGTAAGGTGCATCTCTAATATACCGGCGTACGAGTCAAAGTAAACACATACCCTGTCGTAGACCGTTGCTTATCCAAATCCCCGGCATAATCCGAATTAACATAACCAATGTATAACTGCCTACCTGTAGTGTCCCTCTCATAAACCAAACCAATATTGAGCGCACCTCGAATATACCTCAAAATCCATCTCACGGTGTCCCAATGACCCACTCCTGGATCGTGCATGTATCTCGAAACCATGCTCACCGCCTGTGACAAATCCGGACTCGTACATACCATCGCGTACATCAAGCTACCAACCGCGCTCGCATATGGAGTCTTCGACATCAACTCTCGATCTTCAACCGACTTTTATGAAAGACCAGTCGAAAGCTTCAAATGGGCTCCCAAAGGTACACCAACTGGCTTCGTATCCAAGCTAATATGGAATCACTGTAGAACCTTCTTCAAATAAGCCACTTGTGTCAAACAAATTCTACCATTCTTCTTGTCTCTGCCGATCTCCATCCCTAGAATGTTCTTCGCCTCGTCCAAGTCCTTCATCTCAAACTCATTTGAAAGATGAACTTTCAACTCATCTATTGCCGACCTGGAAATAGAGGCAACCAACATGTCATCGACATAAAGTAACAAATAGATGTACGCACCTCCTTTCAACTTACGAAAATATACGCAAGGATCAAACTGGTTCCGAGTGTACGAATGACCAATCATAAAACCATCAAATCGCCTATACCACTGTCGAGGAGACTGCTTCAAACCGT